GGCGGGGGGGGGCTGGACCGGCGGCGCTGGGTCTCCTTGGCGATCGCTGCAGTATCAGCCTCCTTCTGCAGCTGCCTCCCGCCTTTGTCTCTTCGCACCGAGGAGGCTGGGTGATGTCATTGCTCCTGAGGGCAGCCAAAGCCCGGGGCCCGAGAAGCGCACCCCTCTCCTTCCCCGGCCGGCCTCTCTTCCCGTCCTCCCCCGGAAGGCAGCCCCTCTCCACCGGCAAAGGGCAAAGCTCACCTAAGAGCGAAAGGGACGGGCTGGCATTTGCTGCTCGGCGCAGGGGGGAGGGGAGACCAGATGAATGCCTGGATTGGAAACAGATTTACCCTCCAGGGGGAGGAAGCAGCTTTTGCTCTGCTAGCTAATTCCCCCCCCCCCCCCCCTTGAAGCTATAATTACATTGCACACTTCCCCAGCTCACGTGCGTGGGCTTTCGCTTGAGAAAACAGAAATCGACCCTTGCGTGTGGTTTCTCTGGTAAACAGCCCTGACTGCAATCTGCCCTGGTTTGGGTTGTATTAAAACAGTGGTAAAGACCTGCCGGTGAAGTGCTACCCTTGTGTACTGTGCACTAGAACAGGACGGAAGGCGAGGATTTTTTAAGGGATAAATACCTCCTAAAAGATGTGCTAGATCAGTGTTTCTTAAACTTTTTGAGACCACGGAACACCAAACAATAATATTTGTTTATGCAGAACACCTATGAAAATGTTCTTTAAAAAATTGTTGTCAGACAAAAACAAAGCAGTAACAAAAACAAAGAAAAGGTCTTAGTACACCAGTGTTCCAGGGAACATAGTTTAAGAAACACAGAGCTAGATGGGGAAGAAGAGTCCTGTGGCACCTTATAGACTAACTGAAGTGTAGGAGCCTAAGCTTTCGTGGGCAAAGACCCACTTCGTCAGATGCATGTGACGAAGAGAGACACAGAGCTAGATGGGCAGCTGGCATGATTGCACCTCTCATCATGTATGAAGAAGCAGGTCATTTATAAGTCTATAGCAGGGAATGCCCAATGACCAGATGTGCCATTGTGTGGAATCATAGCAGTAATACATGAAGATTGTTGCGGGTTCTGTTTAGACAACCACTTCTGGGGTGAAATTGTGGCCCTAATGAAATCACAGAATAATCTTTTATTGCTGTTTAAGTCTGTCATTAAGACAGTCATTGGTTATACAACGATCAAAGAGTTTAAGACCAGATGGGATCACCACATCATCTAGTCCAGTGTTTCTCAACCAGTGGTACGAGTACCCTTAGAGGTACTCAAGAGAAGTCTGGGGAGTACGTCAACACAACTCAGATTTGGATAAAACAATTTTTGTTTTAAGTTTTACAGTGCTTTATAATTTTTGTACTTTTTACACCCAAAAATGTCATCACCCACCCAGCTACGATTAAGTTGTTTAAACAAATGTGTTGCAATGGTAGAAAAAAATTGTGTGTGTTTGAAAACTGTAGGTACTGGGGGTACTTATAATTTTTGAAAAAGGGGGTACTTATAATTTTTTGCAAGGGGTACTTTATAAAACAAAGGTTGAGAAACACTGATCTAGTCTGTTTTCCTGAGCTCGGAAGGGAGCCTTACTCCCTACCATCACAAGCAATGGCATTATTACTACTTTATCCCTACTGGAAAGACCCCATCTAATAAATCATTGCATCACATTTGACTCCCCTCCACCACCCCAACACACACATACAACTACATCATAGTGGTGGCTGATCCTATGATCAACTCACACAACCAGGTCTCTTTCCTCCTCTATCACTTCCAAGTGATAAGCCCCCTGCTGGCAGCAAAAATTCTTATCTTTAGACCAAAGTAAATGGCTTTGCATTCTGATTATTGAATTTCATTTAGGCTATGTCTAGACTACAGTATCCCGGAAAAACTCTGCCACGTTCAGGGAATGCATCTGCTTTTTTGGATCAGTTTCCGAAAAAGCGGGTACATTCTTTTGGTGTACCTGTATTCCTCTCGGTGAGAGGAATAAGAGATGTTTCAAAAGAGGAGGTTTTTCCGAAATTTGGTCCTGTTTAGATGGGCCAAATTTCAGAAAAGCCTCTTCTGGGGAAAAAAAGCAGAAAAAAAAGGTATGAAGATTGCAGTTTGCAATTTGAGTATTTTTTTCCGAAAAAAACCCTGCAATCTAGACATAGCCTAAGTTTTTGTCACTCCCATATTCAAGGTCACTCAAATCTACTGTATAATATTCCAGTCCTCCTTTGTATTGATAATGCTTCCCAACTTTGTATCATCAGCAAATTTCATTAGCACATTCAATAAAAATATTGAATAAGATTGGTCCCAAGACAGATCCTTTAGAAACTCTGCTAGTAAACTCCTTCTAATCTGATAATCCATTTTTCAGCATAGCCTTCTTACCTTGAATCAATCCCTAATCCACTTTACAATGCTTGTTCTGATCCTCATCTTCTCTAACTTAATTAATAACTTCTCCTGTGGTACTTTGTCAGGCGATTTATTGAAATCCAAGTACATTAGATCTACTGCACTTTCCTTATCTAAAAAAATCAGTTTTTCTAAAAGAATGTTTCTTAGTTTTCAGTAGCTCTCCACTTTCTTCAGACAGGGGCTGGGATCTGTGAAGTTCAAATGTGAAATTCCAGAACTACTTCTTATGGTTTGTAGCCTATCATTTAAATCAGCTTCTGTACCCAATGACTGGAAGATAGCTAATGTAACGCCAATATTTTAAAAGGGCTCTAGAGGCGATCCCAGCAATTAAAGACCAGTAAGTCTAACGTCAGTACCGGGCAAATTAGCTGAAACAATAGTAAAGAATAAAATTGTCAGACACATAGAAGAACATAATTTGTTGGGCAAAAGTCAACATGGTTTCTGTAAAGGGAAATCATGTCTTATTAATCTATTAGAGTTCTTTGAAGGGGTTAACAAACATGCAGACAAGGGGGATCCAGTAGATTAGATTTTCAGAAAGCCTTTGACAAGATCCCTCACTAAAGGCTCTTATGTAAATTAAGTTGTCATGGGATAAGAGGGAAGGTCCTTTCATGGACTGAGACCTGGTTAAAAGACAGGAAACAAAGGGTAGGAATAAATGGTAAATTTTCAGAATGGAGAGGGGTAACTAGTGGTGTTCCTCAAGGGTCAGTCCGAGGACCAATCCTATTCAACTTATTCATACATGATCTGGAAAAAGGGGTAAACAGTGAGGTGGCAAAGTTTGCAGAGGTAAAGTCTGCTCAAGGTAGTTAAGACCAAAGCAGACTGTGAAGAACTTCAAAAAGATCTCACCAAACTAAGTGACTGGGCAACAAAATGGCAAATGAAATTTAATGTGCATAAATGTAAAATAATACACGTTGGGAAAAATAACCCCAACTATACATATAATATGATGGGGGCAAATTTAGCTACAACAAATCAGGAAAGAGATCTTGGAGTCATCGTGGATAGTTCTCTGAAGATGTCCATGCAGTGTGCAGTGGCAGTCAAAAAAGCAAACAGGCTGTTAGGAATCATTAAAAAAGGGATAGAAAATAAGACGGAGAATATCTTATTGCCCTTATATAAATCCATGTGATGCTCACATCTGGAATACTGCATAGAGATGTGGTCTCCTCTAAAGTCTGCTCAAGGTAGTTAAGACCAAAGCAGACTGTGAAGAACTTCAAAAAGATCTCACCAAACTAAGTGACTGGGCAACAAAATGGCAAATGAAATTTAATGTGCATAAATGTAAAATAATACACGTTGGGAAAAATAACCCCAACTATACATATAATATGATGGGGGCAAATTTAGCTACAACAAATCAGGAAAGAGATCTTGGAGTCATCGTGGATAGTTCTCTGAAGATGTCCATGCAGTGTGCAGTGGCAGTCAAAAAAGCAAACAGGCTGTTAGGAATCATTAAAAAAGGGATAGAAAATAAGACGGAGAATATCTTATTGCCCTTATATAAATCCATGTGATGCTCACATCTGGAATACTGCATAGAGATGTGGTCTCCTCATCTCAAAAAAGATATACTGGCATTAGAAAATATTCAGAGAAGGGCAACTAAAATGATTAGGGGTTTGGAACAGGTCCCATATGAGGAGAGATTAAAGAGACTGGGACTTTTCAGCTTGGAAAAGAGGAGACTATCATATCCCCCTATATGATATAGGTATATAAAATCATGAGTGGTGTGGAGAAAGTGAATAAGGAAAAGTTATTTACTTGTTCCCATAAAATAAGAACTAGGGGCCACCAAATGAAATTAATGGGCAGCAGGTTTAAAACAAATAAAAGGAAGTTCTTCTTCACACAGCGCATAGTCAATCTCTGGAACTCCTTGCCTGAGGAGGCTGTGAAGGGTAGGACTATAACAGGGTTTAAAAGAGAACTAGATAAATTCATGGAGGTTAAGTCCATAAATGGCTATTAGCCAGTATGGGTAAGGAATGGTGTCCCTAGCCTCTGTTTGTCAGAGGGTGAAGATGGATGGCAGGAGAGAGATCGCTTGATCATTACCTGTTTGATTCACTTTCTCTGGGGCACCTGGTATTGGCCACTGTCGGCAGACAGGATACTGGGCTGGATGGGCCTTTGGTCTGATCCAGTATGGCCATTCTTATGTTCTTATTTCATGTAAATTTAAACTCACTACTACATGGGGAGTTTTGGGTGCACAAAAATTTTAGGATTCAAGATTTTAGTCTGTAAAAAGACCTGTTTCTCCTGGGCTTCGTCTACACTGTGGCATTTGCCGCAAGAGCCTATGCAAATGAAGCATAGATTAGCATATCACCACACTTCATTTGCATAATTTATTTATGCATTTATTTATGCTGCTTTCTGCACACAAAGGGTGTGTCTAGACTACATG